GGGAGAGGGTCAGGAGCCAAGGAGCATCGGGGGTCGCAGTGGTTACTGGAAACAGTGTCCCTCCAGTCCTTACCCAGAGCCTTCGCAGCCCTTCTCCACGAGGGCAGGGTTGCGTGATGGTTGTGCACTCGTGTCTGGAGCCTGGATTTTATATCCTTGCCTCGCCTCTCCTGAGAGTCTGACCTCGGGGACTGTGACTTAACCTTGTTGGGCGTCAATTTCCTCCCTATGAAAATAGAAGTGATGCCTGGTGAAGTGGCTCACGCCTGTAATCCCAGCACTTTGGGAGACCGAGGTAGGTGGATCACGAGGTAGAAGTTCAAGACCAGCCTGGCCAATATGGTGAAACCCCATCTCTAGTGAAAATACAAAAATTAGCTGGACGTAGTGGCGCATGCCTGCTTGGGAGGCTGAGGCAGTAGAATCGCAGGAGGCAGAGGTTGCATTGAGCCTAGATTGCGTCACTGCACTCCAGCCCAGGCAACAAGATCAAGACTTTGTCTCAAAAAGAAAGAAAGAAAAAAAAAAGACCGAGGGTTTGAGACAAGCCTGTGCAACATGACAAGACCCAGTCTCTACAAAACATGCAAAAATTAGCCAGGCATGGTGGCGCACGCCTGTAGTCCCAGCTACTCAGGAGGCTGAGGTGGGAGAATCACTTGAGCCTGGGAGGTCAAGGCTACAGTGAGTTGTGATCACATCACTGCACACTCCAGCCCTAGGTGACAGAATGAGACCCTGTCTCAAAAAATAAAAATAAGGTAACCCTGAAAGTCTAGTACAAACCTTGGCACATAATAGGTGTTCAACAAATGAGTCCTCTCCTTCTCCCTTAAGCCAGCATCCACTTTACCAATCCCTGGCAGCCTAGAGTGAGGGTGAAGAGACGCCTCAGCTCACATCGAACCCCACCAATCATACACTGTGTCCTGGGAAACTTACTTGTCCACAAGCCCCGGTTTCCTACTGTAAAATGGGACCATAACAGAACCTGCCTCAAGGAGTGAGCCTGAACCCTTTTTCTCTATCTAAAATGCTCAGTGCCTGATACAGAGCAAGATGCTCACAATTATTGCTCACTGCCATCCTGCGCATGGCCTTGTAGTGTGAGTGCTGATGATTGTGGGTGAGTGGCTGGTGAGGTTGGGCTCCGGATGGTTCCTGGATGCTCCCTTCCTCTCTCACTCTCTGGCCTGTGGAGTTACAGCAGTGATTCCCTGTGATTTCACTTTCCTTGATTACAGTTGCCAGCAGCCAGCCACAGCCCAAAAATATTAAACAGAAAATTTCAGAAATAATTCATAATGTTACATAGCATGCCATTCAGAGCAGGGTGATGAAATCGTGCAGCAACGTGACTCATTCCTCTGTCCAGTGTCTCCGCACAGTAGGCGTTCCCACCCATGAGTGATCAGAGAGCAAAAACCTAATCCACAGAGGTTCAGTAATATCTGAGGTTTCAGGAATCCACTGGGGGTGTCGAAGGGTAGGCTTGCAGATAGGGAGGGCTATGGTAATTTCCTGCCTCCTGTGAGGTTTGCACCAGGCCTCTCTCCTATCGGTGGCCTGGCCTGGACTCCTGAGACTGCTCCTGAAAGGGAAGGAGGATGGGCGCAGTGGCTCTCGCCTGTAATCTCAGCACTTTGGGAGGCCAAGACCGGTGGATCACCTGAGGTCAGGAGTTCGAGACCAACCTGGCCAACATGGCGAAACCCTGTCTCTACTAAAAATACAGAAATTAGCCGGATGTGTTGGTGGGAGCCTGTAATTTCAGCTACATGAGAAGCTGAGGCAGGATAATCGCTTGAACCCAGGAGGCAGAGGTTGCAGCGAGCCCCAAGATTGCTCCACTGCACATTCCAGCATGAGCGACAGAGTGAAACTCCGCCTCAAAAAAAAAAAAGAAAAGAAAAGGGAAGGGGACTCTGGACTCCTGGGAACTGGCCAGGAGGCAGGGCAGGGGGACCCCCAGAAGCTGCAGCAAGTAGCTGCCTTCTCAGCTATGGGGCTGAGAACCAAGGGGAGGAGGGTGGGCTGCCAGCTGCATGGGACAGAGGTGGAGCAGCACAGCCCTCACCAGCAAGGCCATCAGTGGAGATCTAGGCTCTCTAGAGAGCACTTTGGGGTGAGCCAACGAGGTAGTGGCCAGCCACCCACCCCTTCACACCCCTTGGCCATCCCCAGGTGAGCTAAGTCCCTGGCTCTGTCACACCTTTTAAGGAAAGGCAGCTCCCGCCACCACCTCCCTGTTCCCACTTGCTCAGAAATTCCCAGCAGTTATTTTTTCTTTTTTTCAGGAGGAATGGAATGAGACTCCTTGTTCTGTCACCGCAGGATTCCAGCAAGGCCTGTCTAGAGGTTCTGGTGAAAGAAAAGTGACAGGAAGCGCATGCCAGCAGGCACTTGGAGATGCACCCTCAGTGACATGCACAGGCACGACGGTCACCCCACCCACCACAGGCCTCCGCTGGGGACAGCCAGGCACACGCACAGCACAGACGAGGCACAGGGATGTGGGGACCCCCAACAAACCCACCCCCCAACAAACCCACTCCATGCTGGAGAGACAGGAGATCCAGCTGGGAACGAGGCAGGCACAGGCACAGCCCATATCATAAAGCCCCTCCCTCAGCTCATACCTGAGCCCAGGAGCCTCAGGGCTTTCGAACTCCTGCCTCCAGTGTTCCAGCACAGGGCTCCATGGGCAGGACCCTTGACACCCTTCACATCTTAGAGAGGCCTCCCCTACCCCACCCATGTGACTCCATCCCAGTGACCTGTTTTATTTCCTCAGAGCCGTCATCACTTCTAAACTGCCTTGCTTTTTTCTTGAGACAGGCTCTCGCTCCCTCACCCAGGCTGGAGTGCATGCAGTGGCGCAATCATGGCTCACTGCAGCCTGGACATCCTGGGCTCAAGAGATCCTCCGGTATCAGCCTCCCAAAGTGCTGGGATTCCAGACTTGAGCCACCACAGATGGCAGGCAAGAAGGAGGGGCTGTGGGGCTGTCAACAGCAAAGGCTCAGCCCCGAGTCAAGCCAGGCTGTCCATGAGAAAGGCTTTCTGTGCACTTGGGCATGTGAACAGGTATGGGTGTGATGCGAGCCTCCACCTGCGACCTGCAGGTGTGTCCTGAGCCTGGAAGCAGACAGACTACCCCTAGGGGCCCTTGTTCTTTGCGTCCTGTCATCCTAGCCATACCCACAACTGGGTACAGAGCCCTGGACAGGTAGCAAGGCTCAGCCAGAGTATGTCAGACCAGCAAAGCCTTTCCTACCTGGGCTGGGTGGGCAGCGGGGCTCTAAGCCCAGCCTAAGGGATAGGGAAGGGAGGGGACAGGCTGAGGCCCTTGCCCATTCAGCATCCCCATCAGGACCAGATCATAACAGGGAGACAAGAGGCAGCACCCAGACCAGACAACCAGATCTCACACCTGGACCTGTCACTAAGGTGCCTGGTGGCCTTGGGACAACAGGTCATGACCCACTCCAGCTATGCACCTGACTCCCGTGACTGCAGGGCATCCTGGGACCCTGATGCACAAAGGAACCCTGACCAATCCACAACCCCTGGCAGGGCCGTCTTGCAAGGCAGGTACCACACTCACCCCTGGTGGCTCTAACCTGAAGTGCAGCTCGACACCCAGGCCCAGGCTGCAGTCAAGGATGGGAGGGGCTGCAGGAAGGAGGGTTCTGCCTTGAAACCAACTCCAAGCCAAGCTCAGAAGGGGCTGGACATGCAGGATAGACAGACACATGGGGGAGGGTCCTGCTGCACACAACTGACCCACCCCTGCTTCAGGACCCACATGGTACTTACCCCCTCTGCACCTTGGGAACTTTTGGACACTGTAGTGCTTCACCGCATAGCCTTGCATCCACAGGTAAACGGCAACTATCTCCTGAGGTCCACATCCCCTTCCCCCCAGCCCACAGGCACACCCAACTATTGGCGACCCATCCATATAAGCAAACTTATGACACGGGGCTGCCAGACACTGCTGGGTGGACAGTCAGCTGCTGCAGCTGTGGCCTCTACCCACAAGCAGCTTAGTGGGACTGGAGAAAAGCACAGCGCCCTGGACACAGCCACAGCAGCTGAGGCTGAGGGACCAGCTTTGATGGCATCGCAAGGGCACTCATATTCCACACCCTGTCCTGGTAGAGCCTAGGTGCGGCTTGAGCAAACACAGGGTCAGCCAAGTGGGTCCAAGAGCCAGGGCCTGTGCTGGGCTTCACTGAGCTCACCAGGCTTCAAGCCAGCTCATAGAGGCCAGGCCCAGAGCCTGGAGGCTTCCTTCGGTTTTGAGCAGCAGCCACACCCCAGCATCCTGGGCTTGTCGAGTGAGGGCAGCAGGCACTCAACATGGGGTGGGGTACAGGGGCCATCTCCAGTGGGAACAGGGACTGCACCAGGGAAGTTCCAGAAGGCAGACCCCAGCCCAGAAGGGACACAGCCCTGACAGGTTCCAACTAGGTTTCCAGCTGGCTGAGCCTGGGCAAGTTACTTCACCTGTGTGCTGTGCTCACGTTCTCCCAGTACCAGGCTTTGGGTGCAGATTACAAAGGAACCTGAACAAGCCTTAACTGGAAGCCACCCTTCCCTGGATTAATTTAAGAGCAAGCTAGCTTTTTAGACAAGGGATAGACGCAGGGTCTGCGTGCACATCAGCATCAAAGGCGCCAGGGAACACCTAGTACTCGTCTCCAGTACAGCACTGGCAGCACCCAACCTGTGCAAATAGCAGAGACCCAGCTGCCTCGCCCAGGTGACAAACATTTGCACAATGCCCACTGCTCAAGGCTGTCTACAGCTCAGCGGCAGAACCAGGCCGCTTTTACCTCCCTCCAGGGACTGAGGGTGGGGACCGAGTGGGGAGGTCAGAGGGTAACCAGTGTGGCTACAGCAAGGAGGGAAGTGGCTTGGGGAGCAGAGGACACCTTGGGGGGCCTCATCTGCCTCCCCAGTCCCAGCTGCCCTCCTGAAGAAACAGGCAGATGTCAGTGGAAAATAAATTTTATTGAGACCCCACCAGCTGCAAAATCTGTTCCTGGCATCAAGCTCCTTCTTCCTTTGCAATTCGGTCTTTCTTGAGTGGTCCCTGTGGGGAGAGAGGCAGTGGTTAGAGGTGGAAGGTATCAGGCCAGCAGATGCCCACTCTACAGGGGACTGAGACTCTGGGCCAGTCTCCACAGCCCCGAGAGGTCCAAGGCATAAAGACCACCCTCTACCCCACCAGGGCCCAAAAGCAGGCAGATGGCCAAGCCACCCATCCAGTGAGGGAAGCAAGCAGGAAGCGCTCACCATGAATGCTTTCTTCTCCTCCATGGTCTGGAAGCGGCCATGGCCAAACTTGGAGGTGGTGTCAATGAACTTCAGGTCAATCTTCTCCAGAGCCCGCCGCTTGGTCTGCACCAGCAAGGACTGTGGGCCAAGAAGGGAAGTGATTTGGGATTACAAGGAGCCAGGCTTTCCCTAGCCCCTTGGTTGATAGCGGCCCTGCATCTGGGAAGCCACAGGATCCATTCAGCCTCCAAGAGCCCTCCCCCACTGCCAGGCCAAGGAGGACACACTCAAAAGAAGCAAACAGCCCAGCAAGGCCAGACTAGGAATTTCCTCAGCCCAGAACTTCAAAGGTAGTGTCAAAGGACTGCCAACACCCTCTCCTTCCTTTCAGCTCTCCCACCACAGGGCCACAAGCATCTGTGGCCTTGTATCCTCCCTCCACTGGAGGGCCCCCTAAAACCAGGCAGGGCCTGCCTCACCTTGCGGAGGGTGAGCACCCGCTTCTTGGTTCCCACCACACAGCCTTTCAGCATGACGAAGTCATTGGTCACTTCACCATAGTGGACAAAGCCACCCTGGAAAACAAGACCATTGGATCAGCACAGGGCCCGCACTAGGCACAAGAGGGGACTGTGCAGTGATGACCCCTCCAGGTTCAGGCCCTCCTGACCACAGGGCTGTTCTCAGAAGGAAGGCAACAGGAACGGTTCCGCAGTCTGTCTCGGGCGCTGTGCCCAGCGCACATTCCAGGCCTCATCACTGAACAGCTGAGCCTGAGACTCCACTTCTCACCAGCCAACCCCAACTGGTGGACTCAATGACATTTTGCTGTTTATCCGGTACACAGCTAGGTGCTGTGCCGGCTTCAGTTAACCTGCTAACAGCCCCTAAGAAGCAGAACACCCGTTACTTACCAGAGGGTTGATGCTCTTGTCAGACAGGTCATAGTCGGTGGAGGCATTGTTCTTGATCAGCTTGCCATCCTTGATAAGGTAGCCCTGGCCGATCTTATAGATCTGAAATGAACAAGAAGGGTGTCAGGCTGGGGCATTAGGGACAAATAACCCAGACATGCCAGTGGGGTGACCTGCAAAACACTCTGTAGGAAGGCAGCTGAGGCCTCAGTCCCAGCCATGGGGTATTCCAATTTCAGAGCAAAAAAGTGGCTGGCCCTCCAGGTTCCTTTCTGTAAGGTGGCTAGGCTAAAACTAAAGGTCCTGCTGTCCAGCGCAGGCCTCTCACGCCCTGGTGGTGGGACCAGACACCAGGAAGTCTAGTATCCGCAGCCACACCAACCATCAGCCCCACCACAGCCGCTTTACACCTTAATCACTCAAGCCAGAACTGACCCGAGACACAAGCCACTGACGTCTACATGATGCTCATGAGTCAATGAAGCAGTGCTGACACAGAAACCCCAATCACAGGGTCATCTCCCACCCCAGGGAGCCACTCTCAGAACCTCACCTTCTTGTTGATCTCAGTGCGGTGATGGTATCCTTTCTGCCCAGCACGTGCCACAGAGAAGGCCACACGGGCAGGATGCCATGCCCCAATACAGGCCACCTTGCGCAGGCCTCGGTGGGTCTTGCGGGGCAGCTTCTTGGTGTGCCAACGACTCGTGACACCTGGAATGGATGCACATTACTGCACCTCAGCGCCCAGCACCTCCCACTGACCCCTCCCTCCTGGCTCAACAATCACCAACCACGGCTGGGTCATCTGAGGGACATTACCCTGTCAAGCTGGATAGGCTCTGGGGGTGTAACTCTGAATTGGATTTGTGAATGGGCATTTTTAAGGCATGTTAAAGTTTTCCCATCAGCAGGGAGTGACATAATTCCGAGTTCCCCTTCGCAGTTATCAGTAAGCTACGAAGAGCAGAGAGTCCAGGAACATGGTAAGAAGTCGTCTCCTGGCCCTCCGCTATCCCAGCCACTCATGACTACAAGGCTGTTCTCAGAAGGAAGGCAGTAGAGAATGGTTCCACAGTGTCTGATTCAGGCGCTGTGCCCAGCGTGCACTCTGAGCCTCATCACCGAACAGCTGGGCCTGAAACCACGTCTCCCCCAAGTTAGCACACAACACAAGCCACTGAAAAGCTCACCTTTGTAGCCTTTGCCCTTGGTCACCCCGATGACGTCAATCATCTCGTCCTGCCCGAACACTTGGTTCACAGGTACCTGCTGTTCCAGCCTCTCACGGGCCCAGTCCAGCTTCTCGGACACGGTGCCTCCATTCACCTGGATCTCCATCAGGTGGGCCTTTTTCTGGCGCAGAGGAAGGAGGCGCATCTAGGAGGAAGTGGGCACAGCTCAGCTCCAACTGCCAGTGCTCCTCCCACAGTAGAGGACTGCAGCTCCACGCGTCTGATGCCAAGCACATGGCAAAAATAGGCCAACTCTCAACAAGTCACTCAACCTCACCAAGACAAAGGAACTTCCATTTTTGCCAACAACAACTTAATTTTGGATTCCGATGCCTGAATTACTGTCAGGATGAGCTAACGGGGCCCACACCACAGGCAAACAACCAGATCCCGGCACCTGCCAGCCCCATGCTCCTGTGGCTGTCCTTCGGGTCAGTTCCTTTGGGGTATTGCAGTGGTTTTACCGAAGCCACCTACACTTGCCCTAGGGACAAGTCTGCTTTTTAAGAGCACAAGCTCTGAGTAAGAAAATGCATTTAAGCATAAAACTTTCACTTCAGGACAGCCTGGCAATGTCCTGACAAAACTGCAAGGTGGACATGCACTATATTATCTGTGATGGCCTCACCACAGAGGGTTGTACTGAGCACTTGAAATCCACCAGGATAAGACAGCCAGAGTCACCTACTCTAACCAAGTCAATAAAGGGCCTGCTCAGCTCACAAGGCAGGTTTCAAGGAGAGCAGCCAGCACCTTTCAGTCAGGCATTTCAGTGTACTGGTGAGTCACCAGTTGGGTCAACCAGCTGAATTTTAAAGGGGCATGCCTCCCTTGCTAAGGGCCAGCAAGGACACAGTGCCCTCTGCTGGCAAGGGAGAAGCCTACCCACAAGATCACATAGGTCACCTCCCCAAAGTGGCAGACCCAGCCACCGCATGGCACTGCGCTCACCTGGGTGTGGGCAATGACGCGGATGACTTGGCAGTACTTCTTCATGCTGCTGAAGTCCTTCTCCAGCTGCCTCTTGCCATCCTCATCCTGCCATTTCTTGCAGTACTTGGTGAAGGCCTTCTTCTTCGATTTATGCCTTCAGGAGCAGAGCAGAATTGGGGAGGGGGCCGGGTGCAGGCCTTCATCACCCCTGAGGAGTGAGCGGAAGGTACACTGGCACCACATGGGGATGGGGCTCATTGCCGGCTTCTAAGGAGCCTTTTCCACCGGCAAGCGGAGCCTGGATGGAGCTCATCGGGCAAAGCCGAGCGGAGCTGAGCAAAGGTCCACAAGGTTAATTTAAGTCACAAACACTCAAAAACATTCTTGCTCCGGGGTGCTAGAAAGTACTCTACCTTGGGGGAGCACCTACTCAGTGATGGAGGAAATGGGACATTCCAGCCAGGGCCAGAGGCCCTTGCCACCCCTGTGGGGGTTGAATAATCCTGCTACCTCTCCTGGTTTCTAGTTGGACCAAACACTGGGTCCTCCGCCACCACCCAGTACTAGCCTGGACTCTGAATGAGGGTGTCAGCTCCAACTGAAACCCAATGGCTGGTCAATGTCTGTTCAAGAGGCAAACTCAACCTGAGACAGCAGCTCCCGCCTGCTAGACAGCTGAGAGGCCATGCACACACTGCTGCCTGCCCTCCAGCTCCCAACCTAGGGACTGCGGCCTCCCCCCCTTACCAGTTCTTATAGAAACGCCTTTTGCACTCATCGCTGATGTGCTCAGCGAAGACAGTCTTGAAGGTCCGGAGGCCTCGAGGGGTTTCCACATAGCCCACAATGCCCACAACTACCATGGGTGGCGTCTCCACAATGGTCACAGCCTCCACCACCTCCTTCTTGTTCACCTCTGCAAAAAATGGCGGTCATCAGACATGGCAGGAGCCCAAGCAAGGGGTGCAGTGTTTTCTAGAAAAATGCAAAGTGCCCATTTAGGTCCACATCTGCAGTCTAGACTCACAGGACTATGCTTGCTATGAATTTCTCATTCGGTGTACATTTATGTTCTTTAACTTAAAAAGTATCAGGACCCTTAACAGGCAAATACCTGCCCAGCTTCAGTTCTCTTCTACGCAAACCTCTGGAGGCAGACAAGGTTTGCCATTTATCTGGACAATGCAGTGTCCTGAGTATAAATGGGACACAGAAATAGCTGAGCTCAGCTTAAGAGTCACTATCAAGTGCCTAACATCAGTAAGTGGAGCCATGGCTAAGTGGCTAAGTGGCTAATGGCTAATGGCTACGCTAATGGCTAAGTGGCTACTATTCAAACCTTTAAGTGAAACACATATGAACAAGCAAAACCTGAGAGTTCTTATTCCAGCCTCAGCAGCTCCAACCCCACACTGCTATGACTTCTCTTTGCTAGGGATCTTGGGAAATTTACTATGCTCTGAAATCAACACCCGAACCTAAAACAAACAGTGCTGGCCATCTGTACCCTGGGAGTATCAGCCTTGAAGTCGAGTGTTCCCATTCTGCTGTAAGAGCACTTCTGACAACCGGTAGCTCCTGCTTAAAAAGTCTGCCCTCTGATAACAGCTTGACTCCATCTCTACGGTTTCCCTCCCCCCTCAACTCCTATCACCGAAACTTTAAGGATGCCTGTACTTACTGGATCCTGGCCTATCGACCTCCCGCACGATATGGGTCATGCCAGCCTTGTATCCCAGGAAGGCTGTGAGGTGGACCGGCTTGGAAGGGTCATCCTTGGGGAAGCTCTTCACCTTCCCACGATGCCTGCTGCTGCGCTTCCGAGGCAGGAAGCCCAGGGACCCATGTCTGGGAGCGGAGAACTTCCTGTGAGACTGGGTGGGGGGGAAATCACTGTCAGCACCCAAACCAAAGCAGTCCCCTCTTCTTTAACTCCCAGCTGCCTAGGCTACAAATCTCAGCCATACTGAATCCTAACCAGACACCCAGTAAGCCTAATAGGAGGATAATTCTTTTTCCCAGGCTCGCACGTGTCAAGAATGCTTTTGTATCCGGCAAGTTTAAGCTGAACGTCATTTCAAATCCTCAACGTCTAAGAAAACTAGCCAACTGTTTTCTCTGAAACTAGACAAAAATACACTGAGTAGTGGACACTAAAAGCTGCTTAACAGGCCAATTAGCAAGATTTTGAGCACTTAAGAGACAATGCTGAGTAGCAGCCGGGACACTTAATTACACCGATACACGTAGGCCAGAGAACTCGGCAGAGCCAAATCAGAACATTGACAATCAGCACACAGTTTCTGTCCGCCCGTCAATAAGTTCATCATCTGTGGTTTCTGAGAGCTCCAGAGGCCTTAGGAGTGCACCTGAGGTCCCAAATATTTCAGAAGGAGGCCTCTGCAACGCAACCCTCCGGCAACCTCTCCACTCGCAAGCTTTTTTACCACCCAGTAAGAACAGCACCGAGAATCCTCACCCAAGGTAGCCAGGCAAGCTCCGCATGCGCCCTAATCGCCGACTAACGAAACAATGAGTGAGGTCGAAACTCAGAAATCACCCACGGCTTTAAAAAGGCCAGGCCTCCAAGCCTGCTCCCACCCTTACGGCCTCCCTCTGGCCGATGATGTGCAGGCCCCAAACCAGTCCTCCAAGGGCTCTTCTCTACAAGCCTCTAGACTTTCCAGAAAATACGCCTGAGTGAGGGCCCCGCTATGTCGCCCGTGCCCCTAGAGCAGGTCCCCGGCGCCGGCCAAGGTGGGATGGCGGCGATGCGTCGCGGATTCAGCCGACGCCGGTGACAATGAAACAGCCGCCATTACAACACATACCATCACGCCGCCGAATCCAGTCGCTAGAGATCGGCCCGCCTTCCGTATCCGCTATATAAAGCCAAACCTGGCTCCGCCCCTTCCGGCGTGCGAGCGCGCGCCCGTGGCAGACGTCGGGTCCGGGGACACGTACAGAGCGCCATTTCCGCGCACGCTCTTCCGCGCCTAGCATTCGTTCCTTGGTGGACGCCAGCTTTGGGGACAGAAATTAGACACTCTACGGCTAGGGGTTGGGATCAAACTTAATGAAAAGCCGCGGAGACGTGGGCTAGTTTGGTGTGCCACAAATCTACGGCGTCCGGCAGCAGCCAAACTTAATAGTAATGAAGAAAAATGGCTGCGTCGCTTCTTTTCCTGTGATGTGCAGCTGTCTCTGGAATTGGCGAGGAAAGACTGAAACCCTCGTTTCCTGGCTTCCACGCTGATTTTGCCGCGACACCAACTTTCCTTTAATACCTTTAATCTCGGGCATCCCTCCCTCAAGTCCTATCTCTGCTGTTTCTCCCGTGCTAATGCAGTGGTCCGCGCTGGATTCTAAGGGTTTCAGGAGCGTCCCAAGCCTACGGAACGGCCTCACGACCTCGGGTCCTGCTGGATCCAACTGCCCAACCTCCCGGAGCCTCACGCCTTCCAGCCCTCTGCATCAGCAAGGGCTCTCGCTGATTTCTGCCTGGGCTCCAGGGTGACTCAGGTCCTGACTGATTGATTCCCTGCCTCCAGGCTCATCCCCTACAAATCTTTCTAAGAATCAAGTATCTCGTTACGTTCCATGGCCCCCCACGTTGTTTCCTCGGGATTCAGCATCAACTTCAGCTACCGCTGAAGACGCTGCCTCGCAGCGTCTACTTCAACCACGTGGCTGCGCGCGAGCGCACCTCTCATATCACCTGCTTCCTCCATCCCACCCTGTCATCTTTAATTCTGGGCCTGGCTTTGCTCCCACTGTCGTTTAAAAAAATATTCTCATGGCCTGGCGCGATGGCTCCAGCACTTTGAGGGGCCGAGGCGGGCAGATCACCTGAGGTCAAGAGTTGGAAACCAGCCCGGCCAAGGTGGCGTTACCCTGTCTTTACTAAAAATACAAAAATTAGACGGGCGCGGTGGTGGGTGCCTGCAATCCCAGCTACTCGGGAGGCTGAAGCAAAAGAATCGCTTGAACCCGGGAGGTGAAGGTTGCAGTGAGCTGAAGTCGCCCCATTGCACTCCAGCCTGGGCGACAGCGAGACTCTGTCTCAAAAAATAAATAAATAAATAAATAAAATAAAATAAAATAAAATAAAATGCTTTCACTTAATCCTCACACCATCCCCGAGGGATATAACTGATAGGTTCTCATTATTAGAAATCCTGGGGGTGTCACATATGTTTCCAATTCAGGATTTTTTGAGTTTTAGAAAGGTAATTAGGTGCACATACTGTATATTATATAATCCAGCACTCTTTAAAGAAAAACAATATTCCATAAGGAAACATGAATATTCACATGGAGTGGGATAAATATAAATAGACTCACATCAGTTCAAGGCTGACTTTGCTGCCCAAAGAAATGTATCAGTTTACTTTTTGCTGCCAAATAATTTAAGAAGCTTTTTTTTTTTCTTGATACAGAGTTTTTTTGAGACGGAGTTTTGTCGCCCATGGTGGAGTGTAACACGATCTTGGCTCACTGCAACCTCCACCCTCCAGGGTTCAAGTGATTCTTTTCCCTCAGCCTACCAAGTAGCTGGGACTACAAGGGCATGCCACCACACCCAGCTAATTTTTGTGTTTTTAGTAGAGACGGGGTTTCACTATGTTGGCCAAGCTGGTCTCCTGACCTCAGTCAATCCACCCGCCTCTGTCTTCCAAAATGCTGGGATTAGGCTGGGTGCAGTGGCTCAGGCCTGTAATCCCAGCACTTTGGTAGGCAGAGGCAGGTGGATCACGAGGTCAGGAGTTCAAGACCAGCCTGGCCAAGATGGTGAAACCCCGTCTCTACTAAAAATACACAAATTAGCCGGGTGCTATGGTGGGCACCTGTAATCCCAGCTACTTGGGAGGCTGAGGCAGGAGAGTCACTTAAACCCAGGAATCGGAGGTTGCAGTGAGCTGTGATGGTGCCACTGTACTCTAGCCTGGAGGACAGAGCAAGACTCCGTCTTAAAAGGAAAAAAAAAGTGCTGGGATTACAGGCATGAGCCACCACCACTGGCCAATAAGCAGTAATATTCTGAAGGAAAACAATCCCAGCTGCTTAGGAGGCTGAGGCAGGAGAATCACTTGAACCTGGGAGGCAGAGGTTGTGATGAGCCGAGATCGCGCCATTGCACTCCAGCCTTGGCAACAAGAACGAAACTCCATCTAAAAAAAAAAAAAAAAGAAAGAAAAAGAAAACAGATGTGCTGTCAGCCAGGCTTTGTTCTACTTACAGAGCACAGGCAGAGTAAACGTAGCGTAATTCTTAAGGGCCTTCAGATTCTCAGAATTGTCAGTGAGCAATTGGCTTCAACTTAAAGTCACCAGCTACACTAGCTCCTGAAAAAGAGAGTCCTTTGAAACTTTGAAGCCAAGCATTGATTTCTTCTCTCTAGCTATGAAAGACCTACTGGCATCTTCTTTTGATATAAGGCTGTTCCATCTACAATGAAACTGAACTATTTAGTGTAGCCATCTTCATCAGGGATCTTAGCTAGATCTGGAGAACTTGTGGCTTCTCCATCAGCACTTCCTGCTTCACCTTGCACTTTTGTGTTATGGAGACGGTTTCTTTCCTTAAACCTTATGAACCTGCATGAAGAGAGCTGGAAAAAAGAAAAAAAAAACCTTATGAACCAACCTCTGCTAGCTTCCGCTTTTCTTTTACAGCTTCCTCATCTCTCTGACTTCATAGAATTGAAGAAAGCTAGGATGTTGCTCTGGATTAGTCTGTTTTTTTGTTTTTTGGGTATTTATGTTTGTTTGTTTGTTTTTTGAGATAGAGTCTCTCTGTTACCCAGGTTGGAGTACAGTGGCGCAATTTTGGCTCATTGCAACCTCCGCCTCCCAGGTTCAAGCAATTCTCCTGCCTCAGTTTCCCGAGTAGCTGGGATTACAGGTGCCTGCCACCACACTCGGCTAATTTTTTGTATTTTTAGTAGAGACAGGTTTTTACCATGTTAGCCAGGCTGGTCTCAAACTCCTGACCTCAGGTAATCCTCCCGCCGCAACCTCCCAAAGTGCTGGAATTAGAGGTGTGAGCCACCACACCCGGCCTAGTCTTTGGCTTAGGGGAGTGTTGTGGCTGGTCTGATCTTCTATTCAGACCACTCAAACTTTCTCCATATCAGCAATAAGCCTGTTTCACTTTCTTATCATTCATGTGTTCATTGGAGCGGCACTTTTAATTTCCTTCAAAAGCTTTTCCTTTGCATTCATTCACAACTTGGCTAACTGCTTAGTGCAAGAGGCCTAGCTTTCAGCCTATCTAGGTTTTTGCCATGCCTTCCTCATTAAGGCTAATCATTCCAGCTTTTGATTTGAAGCAAGAGACATGTGACACTTCCTTTCACTTGAACACCGAGAGGCCGTTTTAGAGTTATTAATTGGTCTAAATTCAGTCGGCTTTTGTCATGCCTTCCTCACTAAGCTTAATCATTGCTAGCTTTTGACTGAAAGTGACAGGCAGGACTCTTCCTTTCACTTAAACACTTAGAGCCCATTGAGCAGTTATCAGTTGGCCTAATGTCAATAAGGTTGTGTCTCAGAGAATAGGGCTGCCTAGAGAGGGAAAGAGACAGAGAAATGGTGAGTCAATGGAGGAGTCAGAACACCACATTTATCAAATTCACCATCTCGGGCCGGGCGGAGTGGCTCACGCTCGTAATCCCAGCACTTTGGGAGCCTAGGCAGATCCCTTGAGGCCAAGAGTTCGAGACCAGCCTGGACAACTTGGTGAACCCCTGTCTCTACTAAAAAAAAAAAAAAAAAATACAAAAATTAGGCAGGCATAGGGGCACTAGCCTATAGTCCCAGCTACTCGAGAGGCTGAGGCACGAGAATCGCTTGAACCTGGGAGGCAGAGTTGTAGTGAGCTTAGATCGTGCCCCCACATCTAGCCTGAGCAACACAGTGAGACTCTGTCTCAAAAAAAAAAAAAAAAAAAAAAAATTCACCATCTCATATGGACACAGTTCACAGCTCTCCAGAATAATTACAATAGTGACATCAAGAATCACCAATCACAGATCACCGTAGCAAATATAATAATGAAAAAGTTGGACCTATTTCTAGATTACCGAAGTGTGACACAGAGATAGGAAGCAAACACAGACTGCTGGAAAAAAATGGTGCCGAATGATTTGCTGGCTACAGGGTTGCCATGAACCTTCAATTTGTAAAAAATGCAGTATCTGCAAAATGCAATAAAGCAAAGTGCAATAAAATGAAGTGTGCCTGAATGCAGATAGGATCTCGTTCTGTTGCCCAGGCTGGTCTTGAAACCCTGGTCTCAAGCAATTCTTCTGCCTCAGCCTCTAAAGGTGCTGGGATTACAGACGTAAGCCGCCACACCCAGCCAACAAGAGCCTTTAAACAACACAGAACTAAATAACCCCTGACAACTCCAGCACGTTGGCTAGCCAGTAATCTCTTTGCCTACCCCAAATCTTCCAATTTTCCGTAAAAAGTGGTCTTCAGATTTCATCTTTTTGAGACGGAGTCTTGCTCTGTCGCCCAGGCTGAAGTGTGCAGTTGCACAATCTTGGCCCATTGCAACCTCCGCCTCCCAGGTTCAAGTAATTCTCCTGCCTCGGCCTCCCAGATAGCTGGGACTACAGGAATGTGCCACCACACCCAGCTAAATTTTTTTGTATTTTTAGTATAAACAGTGTTTCACCATATTGGCCAGTCTGGTCTTGAATTCCTGACCTCGTGATCCGCCCACCTCGGCCTCCCAAAGTACTGGGATTACAGGCGTGAGCCACCATGCCCAGGCCCAGATTTCATCTTCAATGTGATTCTTCAGGAGCCTTTCCCAGGCACTTGATCTTCTAAGCCTTTCTCCCACATCTTGTCAATCCTTAGCTAGCTCCATTTGTTCTCAGAGAACCTCTCTTCCACTGTAGATTTGATTTGATTTGATTTGATTTAGAGACTGAGTCTCACTCTGTCATCCAGACTGGAGTGCAATGGAGCGATCTCAGCTCACTGCAACCTCCACCT